GGGGAAAAAAAAAATCAAACTAGTTAACTTAATCAAGGAAGAAAAAGAAAAAGCGCAAATATACAAAATAAGAAATAATGATGGGGAAATAACTGCTGACACGGAGCACATTTTAAAAGTAAAAAAAGACCACTTCATATACTTCAATGAAAATAAATTTTAAGGCCGGGTGCAGTGGCTCACGCCTGTAACCCCAGCACTCTGGGAGGCCAAGGCAGGAGGATTGCCTGCGGTCAGGAGTTCCAGACCAGCCTGAGCAAGAGCAAGACCCCATCTCTACTAAAAATAGAAAAAATTAGCCAGTCAACTAAAAACAGAAAAAAAAATAGCTGGGCATGGTGGAACACACCTGCAGTCCCAGCTACTTGGGAGGCTGAGGCAGAAGGATCCCTTGAGCCCAGGAGTTTGAGGTTGCTGTGAGCTAGGCTGATGCCTCAGCACTCATAGCCCTAGCAACAGAGCGAGACTCTTACCTCAAAAAAAAAGAAAAGAAATTTCAAAACTTAATGAAGTATGTAATTTCTAAGAAAAATATAGCTTATCAAAATTGACAATTGTCTGAAACAGACCAATTTTCATGGAAGGGATACAGAAAGTTATCAAGGAACTATCCCATAAGAAAGTACCTGGCTCAGATAGTTTCACATAATTCCATCAAACCTTAGAGACCAGATAGTTCCAGTGCTACATAAATTAATTCAGGAATAGAAAATAAGTAAAAATTTCCAAATTCTTTTAATGAATCAAGTATAACATCAATACCTAAGCCTCATTAAAGACTGCACAAAAGTTATAGACCAATCACTTGAGAATATAGATACAAAAAAATCCTAAAAAAATTTAAATGAACAGACTCCAATACCACATTAAGAAAATAATACTATGACCAAGTGGGATGTATACCAAAAATGAAAGCATAGTTCAACGTTAGGAAACCCATTAATATAATTTAATACATTAGTAGATACAAGGAGGAAAGATCATTTTAGTATCTCCGTTGAGTCTGAAAATGCCTTTGACAAAATCCAACTCATATAATAATAATATAACAAAAATGCTTGGGAAAATAAGCATTGATGGATACTTCCTTCACATGATCTGCCTCAATCTTACAGCCAGCATCCTACTTAATGG